GAAAAATATTTGTATATCATACTTATAATGAGGGTCTAATACCCAAGGTGGTCTATAAGTACCCAATCAAAAAATGGCAGAAGACACTTCATAGTTACTCTCCAAAGAAGTGTGAACAGGCACATGAAAAAATGTTTGGTATTACTTATCATCAGGGAAATACAAATCCAAAACACAGTGAAATATTTCTTGACTCTTGTGAGAATGGCCCACATCAAAAAGACCAGAGAGAACAAATGTTGGTGAGGTGTGAATAAAAAGGAACACTTATACACTGTTGGTGAAAATGTAGCCTTGACCATCCCCAAAGGAAAACAGTATCTGAGGAGATGAGAATTTATTCCCTTAAATCATATATAGTGTTGTAAATTAATGTTACCTACAATAAATTTTTTTTTGGTTCATTTAGACCATTCATTTTATGGTGATTATTGATGTATATACTACCATTCTTTCCTTTGCTTTTCAACTGTTTTATTTTTATTTATTTATTTATTTTAAAAGATTTATTTATTTATTCATACAGAACTGGGGTACAGGCCAGAGATGAGGAGGGTGAGAGGATTTACCAGAGACAGAGTGGGGAGCAGAACAGGCAGATCGACCAAGTACACTGCTGAGGGGAGTATTGGGCTGGTCAAGAGAGGTCTGCCTTGCCATGTGGATCTCCCCTGGGGCAGGCGGGGATCGAACTTATGTGGAATGGCTTAAGCCTCTTAGTGCTTCAACCCACTGTGCCACCAGGGAGGGCCATTGTTTTATTTTTTTGTTGTTCTTTTTTCCATTTGTTTCTCTTTGCTTTTTTATTTGAATGGCTTTTTCCTGATGATTCTGTCAGTTTCTTAATTATTTCTTTTATGTCTATTCTAGAATTTTGCTCTTTGGTTTCCATGATGGTTAATTCAAACTTACGATGTTGAAAGTTATTTATGAACTGGTTGTCATTAACTAACCTTTTATTTTTCCCCTTTAGTGTTTTATGTTGTCTCTTTTTTTTAAAGATTTATTTACTTATGCATACAGAACTGGGGTATAGGCCAGAGGCTCAGGGGCTGCGAGAAGCTTCACCAGAGACAGAGTGGGGAGCAGAACAGGCAGATCCACGAAGTACACTGCTGAGGGGAGCAGCGGGCAGGTCAGTAGAGGTCTGCCACGC